GCCTTCTCCTGGGTCTGGGGGCTCTGAGACCCCCCTCAGGCGTTTGGCAGCTCTCCCTCAGGTGTTTCCAGCCTTCTCCTGGGTCTGGGGGCTCTTAGATCCCCCCTCAGCCGTTTCCCAGTCCCCTTGTGGGTCTGGGGTCTCTCAGATCCCTCTCAGCAGTTTCCCAGCTCCTTCCTGGGTCTGGGGGCTGCCAGAGCCCCCCAGATGTTTGCCAGCCCCCCTTCAGATGTTTGCCAGCCCCTCCTGGGTCTGGGGGCTCTGAGACCCTCCTCAGGCATTTGGCAGCTCCCCCTCAGGTGTTTCCCAGCCTTCTCCTGGGTCTGGGAGCTCTCAGACCCACCCTTCAGGTGTTTCCAGCCTTCTCCTGGGTCTGGGGGCTCTTAGATCCCCCCTCAGCTGTTTCCCAGTCCCCTTGTGGGTCTGGGGGCTCTCAGACCCTTCCTCAGCCATTTCCCAGTCCCCTTCCAGAGTCTGGGTTCTCTCAGATCCCTCTCAGCCGTTTCCCAGCTCCTTCCTGGGTCTGGGGGCTGTCAGAGCCCCCTAGATGTTTGCCAGACCCTCCTGGGTCTGGGGGCTCTCAGACCCCCCTCAGGTGTTTCCAAGCCCCCCCTCAGCCATTTGCCAGCACCTTCCTGGGTCTGGGAGCTGTCAGACTCCCCTGAGCTGCTTGCCAGCCCCCCCTTAGGTGTTTGCCAGATCCTCTTGGGTCTGGGGGCTCTCAGACTCCCCTCAGGTGTTTCCAAGCCCCCCCCTCAGCCATTTGCCAGCGCCTCCTGAGTCTGGGGTCTCTCAGAGCCTTCATCAGCCGTTTCCCAGCCCTCTCTCAGGTCTGCGGTCTCTCAGACCCCTCCTCTGGTGTTTCCCAGCCCCCTCCTGGGTCTGGGGTCTCTCAGAGCCCTCCTCAGCCCTTTCCCAGCCCCCTCCTGGGTCTGGGGTCTCTCAGATCCCTCTCAGCCATTTCCCAGCCCCCTCCTGGGCCTGGGGTCTCTCAGACCCCTCCCCAGACCCCTCCCCAGCAGTACCTGCTCCTGGGTTGGGATTTCTCCGGTCACCAGCAGCCAGAAGAGCCCCTCGGGCAGCGGCTCCTCTCCCCCCGCGGCTTTGGGCAGCTTCTTCTGGCACTCGGGAATGCTGTAGCCGCGGAAACGGATCCCCT